CCTACACTTCCATGGCTCCTGTTCCTCCAGAAAAGAACCCACTAGGTTATCCACATGGACTTTTGTAGCTTCTTTCTTTCTCTTCTGTTTTGTCCTTCCTGAAAGTTTATTTGGCCTGCAGATATGTCTCTTATGAAATACATGTCTGAGGGTTTGGCTGAGCTGCCAATGTTATGTATCCTGTTTCTCAGAAAGGTTTCAGAAATACTAAATTTGTAACATCTCTGGGTTTAGACCAGCATCCATTCTCTTGTGCTGCATGGCCTGATTACTTTGGGGAAGAATTTATCAAGTTACAGCTTGAACTGTATTGGATATGACTTGCATTTTCAACTATTAGAGTGTGAATATATATGTGAAAAACCTGTTTATTAGCTCTTTGTCCTTCAATGGTGGTGGTGTAATAGTAGCATTGGCTGCTGTTAGTTTTGTTCCAACAAAGTAACATTTTTGTGGTCCTTAATCAAAAAAACCCTTATTCTCTCCAAACTAGAGATGAAACTGAATGATCCTGGGACAAAGGCATGGATCCAAATGGGATTTTTCCTTTTCAGTATGGGCTCCAGCTATGATTAATCACCTTTTCTTTCAGTGGAATATACTTGCTTCTGTAAGTGAGCTTTTTCACCTCTCAGAGGGAACTGAAAAAGCAGGGTATTTTATTATGCTTTGGATCACTGATGAGGAAAGGCTCATTTGTACAATTCACTGAGCAAGTCTTTTGGTCTATTTCTTGTTACAGACAAATTATATGGTTATATGTAAGTTACAACACAAAGTACTCAGATGTTACATAAAATCAATACAGTGCTTTCTGAAAAGAAACATACATTTTAATGCCTTTATTATTTCTCTTGTGACCAAAAAGGAGAAAAGATATATGCGCTGTAAAATAGACAGAACCCATTCAAGGGTTGTTACTTATTGTTCTATTGCTGTTACTGCTGGGAAAATGGTAGTAATTTTTAAAAATCATTTCTTCATGATCTGCTTTTGTGTGAGCTGATAAGAAAATATGTTCTTTCTGCACATGCAACACATAAGGAGTGTTTACTGTCCATATGGTCTCTTTAGGGCTCTGACATTAGAATTTCTGTGGTAGCGAGTTGTGAAGCAAAAAAGCAATTATCTGAGTGCGTAAAACTGACGTTTACATCCTGCTTGTGTATAAAATGAGCATAAGAAGGACAGGAAAAGCATTAGCAGTGTGTTACCTATGTGGAAATCCTGTATATTATATGCTAGGGTTGAACTCTGCTGATTTATTTCATCTGCAGGGCTGCCCCAGTGTTTTGTACAAACATCTGCTGTGACACATGACACAGAGCCCAGAAATGTGCACCAGAGGGTATTGCCAAAGGTGCTTCATCACAACAGGATTAAAGGATGTGAAAGACTTGTGTGGCTCCATTAGCAGGAGAAATTAGGTCTTTGATGCTGCAGTGGTACATTTCATTCCACATCTGAGTCATCCCAGCATGCCAAGACACAGCGGGATTTCCGCTTATCGAATCCTCTGACAGTATTCCTGATATAGCACATGATACCGCCTGCACTGTGTTGGCTTCTTGGGTTTCTTGCATTAAACCCCTCCTTAATATCAAAATGTGTTGGTAGGCCTGTCACAGCCAGTGTGACTTCAGCTCCTGCGCAGCATGTACTTGCGTTTGCTGCCAAATCATCTTAAATAGAAGATGCCCATTCGGTTTTGACTGTGCTATAAAACTATTCTTTCATCTTTCCAAAGACTTCGTATATTTTTTTTCAACTAAAAATTCTAAAAGCTGTGTGAATGAGCAGTCGGATCCATGCCATCGGATCACTTCAACACTGCCCAGTGTGGGTTCTCTTCTGTTCAGGCATTACCTTGCTCCCATCACGGGTTTGAGTGTACATGCTGTGTACAAGCACACACACATTTTCCTTTGTTTCATTCTCTTAATAATAATGTGCCCTCAGTATCTCCACCAGTAAGGAAGATAAAACACCAAGAAGACAAATGAGGAGCGGAAGGGTTTTATGATCAGGTGTGTGTTGAGAAAGCAAAGCTTAATTTCCTTTACAAAGAGTTATATCCCTGTATTTAATTCCTGACTGTTATGTGTTCATAGCTGTTTTGGGTATGAGTACTGTGTCCTTTGGCAATTAAAACTCAGAGCGCTAAATTCTTCTTGAGGATGGATCCAGACACTGGATCTAATATTGGTCATTTGATCAAATGCAATTTGGTTACATTTTTAACCAATGTGCCAACATTTCCTCTCTCCCATGAACACTAACAAATTTTAACATATGCAGAAAGAGTGAAAAAATCTGGATGTTGCATATTCAAAGAGCTCGGTTTGAGAGATATAAGACAGTGCTTTTGAGCTTCAGGGTATCTACAACTATTAGTTGCTTTGATCATTGCTAGGATTTCGGGTTTCATACCCCAAACTTATCAACATTTTTTAAATGTAGAACTTTTATGGACTTCAGTGGGAGTAGGAGCCATCCAATATCTCAACAAAAAACCCCAAACAAACAAAATTTAAAAAAAAAAAAAAGAAAAAGAAGAAAGAAAACAAACCAAAAAGACATCTTTCCAAAAGATGATATACAGCACAAAATATTCAATTGATTGATTCAGATCACTAGGCTCAAAGACAAGTGTTCAAATTATCCAAATTAAAAACGAGTCATTTTAATATGAAGCCTCCTGAGTGTCAAATTCTCAAACTACCATGTGATCTTGGTGAATACTGCTTAAATCATACTTCATCCCCATTCTGCAATTGCTCCACAGATGCATGTTATTGCCCTCAAGTAGGAACAGGGGCGACTTTAAACTTAGCACATAAGGTCAAGGGCAACAGTTCCCCACCAGCATTTAGTCTCTAGAGATACCTCTCCAGAGAACTCATAAAAAAATAACAAAATGGTGATTAAAAATATCAATAAACTAGATCTTGAAAGATTGCTACAGGGTGGGTAAGCATTGACTGTCCTCATTTTATGAATGGGAGAATCCAGGCAGAAAGATAGTGTCTTGGGAATAGTAAGTTAAGTATCTAGGCAGAGCTGGGAAGAAAAGCCAGAGCTGTGTGCTCTACCCACCACACCACAGATCCCTCAAATACAGCCCGTGAGCTCCTACCTATGTCCTAGGAAGCCTCAAAACTCAGCTCACAACAGCTTGTAAAATAATCCATCTTTGACATAACAATTTTGTTATTGAGGCCAAGGCAGCTACGGTCTCTGCTTCAGCAGTGCCTTGCCCATGAACTGCTGTGCAGTCCCCAGCCTGAGGGGTAACCAAAAAATTGCCCTGCCTGAAAGAGCAAAACACTGGTAGCTCTGGCATGTTGCAAATGCACACAGAGGACTTACCAAAGCTATTCTGTGCTGTTTTGCAGCGATGAGCAGATCAAATCTATAGTTCCTGTTGTACAACTCACTGCTAAGTATGCACAGCATTTAATTTTCCTTTCATTTCTGAAATGTTTCATGGATGCCAAACTAATCAAGAACTTCAATAGCAAATGAAGAGGCTAAAAGTTAAATCTCATTATCCAGAATGTGTTTGGTTACTGCAATCCATTCTTTATATATTAAGCATTGTTGCAATGTTAATTAGCAGTGTTTAAAAATCATTATAAACACTGAAACAGCAGCCAGTGTTAACAACGGGAATGAAAGATTAGCTGGGATGAAGAGGGAGATGCGTTTACATCAGGAGTTTTTTATGCAATATGGGGTTGCATAACTGCATACTCATTTTTTACACAGCATGCAAACTTTTTGGGGGCAGCAGCTCGATCATGTGCTTTCCAATGCACTTACTGAGCTCATCCATGAAAAAGTGGGTTTGAATGACCAAAAATAAAAGGGCAGAGAATTCTCAGGTGAGATCATCAGGTGTTCTGATTGCCTGCACATTTGCAGAATTTTTAGTGACCTCAGCAGCAGTTACATAAGCATACGGAGAGAAAATAAACTCCTATTAAATGCTGTGACACATAAGGTCTCCTGACAGGATGTTCCAAACCACACAGTAATTTTATAGTCCATATGCACTGTACAGTAGTTCTTTGGTCTCAAAGTAGGAGTCAAAAATAGCATATCAGCATGAACTCCACATTCTTTGTCTTTGAGGAGCAGTCTGTGTGTTAATATTAAAGCACATAATACACCGTGGCTAGCTGTGTTTAACAGGGAAAAAAGTGCCATCTACATGGGACTTGATCTTACTAGCTGATAATATCACATATGATATGGGTATATGATATGCAAAAATCCACCACTGCGAGTAAATGTTTTCCCAGGGTGTGCCATGAGGCACTTTAGGGTAAGAAAAGTGTCATCAGCGATTTATTGGGGGGGGCGGGGAGAGAGTTCCTGGACAGCGTGGAGGGAGAACTATTCTGAATGGGGGAATATCTTCATAGAGCAGCGTATGTCACCCGGGCTGTCTAGGGCCACACGGTGTAAGGACTCCACCAGGAGTCTCATCCCAGGACGAGACTGCCAAAGGATGCAGAAGCACTAGTTGTACTGAAGCTAAATTTTGTTATTAAATATGTCAATCAGCCGTATAAACTCCGAGTGCTATTTTCTGTAGTGTTTTGGTCATACAAAAGCCTCGGCGACAGAACCGAGCCCAGCAGCCAACACTTGAGGAGTCAGCCTAGGGAATTTGTTCCCAGTACGATCCACTCGGATGTCGTATGCTCCACTCTGGTGTCTGGTTGTGTGACACGCTGTGCTGACTGTCCAGCCAAATACCTGCCCGGCTGCGCTCTGGGAGGCATCAAACCAAAATCGCCCGTCCAAAGCCATCACCGAAGCGTGTCCGTGCGTTGAGCGGCGCCGCGACCCCCAGAGCCCGGGGCCGCCCGTCTCGGCGCCTCGGGGCGGCCGCTCTCCGCGCCCCTTCTCCCGCGGGCGGAGCGGGGCCGGCCGAGCCTCCGGGCGGGCGGCAGCGTCCACCTCTGTCCCCGGCTGTCCCAGGAGGCAGCGCCATGCGGGGCCCGCGGGGGGCTGCGGGGCGCGGCGGGGCTCGGGCGGCCCTGGCGCTGCTGCTGGCGGCCGCTCTCGCCCCGCGCCCGGCGCGGCCGCACCCGCAGTGCCTGGACTTCAAGCCGCCGTTCCGGCCGCCCCGGGGCCTCGCCTTCTGCCGCCGCTACGCCGAGTTCGGCTGCTGCGACTCGGGCCGCGACAGCGCCCTGCTCCAGCGCTTCTACCGCCTCAGCGCCCGCTTCGACGGGCACAGCTACGCCGCCTGCGCCGGGCACCTGCAGGACCTGCTCTGCCAGGTGAGACCAACTGCAGGATCGGCTCTCCCGGAGCTCCTGCTGCATAGCGGGGCTCCTGCCGCACAGGGGCTACAGCCGCGCTGGAGGATCCAGCCACACAGGGAAGGGTCTTCCAATGCTCAGGGAACATCACCAGCTGCACAGGGGTATTCCACTCCCCGCAGAGAGCTCTGGCATCGGCATGGATGCTTCTGTCCAGTCGCAGGGCTTTGGTCCAGGTATGAGTGCATCCACCCCAGCAGGGCTGCATCAAGCCCAAGTATGGATGCTTTGGAACAGACATGGGTGCATTGATCTCAGGGGGATGCACTGGCCTAGGGACAGGGTCTTTGGACAATCCAGGGGAGTGTGAGCCTTGGCATTAGTTCCCAGGCCTGGACAGGAGTACAGGAACCACCCCACAGGTGCATCAGCCGTGGTATTCATGCGTGGGCCAAGGCATGCGTGCATTGGCCCACACGTGGGTGCATCAGGGTTAATGCAACAGGCTAGGCACATGCTCCCATGCACTGGCAGGAGCACTTGTCCATCATCAGGTGTCCCAGTGGACCTTTTGTTCTTTGGTACATGTCTGAAACAGAAGCAGGGATGTTGCTCTTCTTTAATTTACGAGCAGCAGTGCTCTGAGGTGGGTATGTGGACAGTTACAAATGGACCTGGTGAAGACACCCAAGGGGGACCTGCCTGCACAAATCATGCTCCTTGTTATGCCCAATTAATGGGGTCAGGTGAGTTTCTTTGCTTTGGGTTACAGCATCCTGAGATGCTTTTAGCATGTGCCAGGTGCTAACAATCCTGATGATGGGTGCAGAGAAATGCCTGAGGATGTGGCCTAGAAACCTCTCTAATGGCCATCCTGCATAGGGAGGAATTTCCACTCAGGGTTGATGTTCTGTGGCCAGATATGATAACAGGAGGATCACAGTCTGCACAGAGCAAAGCGTCTGACCCTCTCATCAGTGGTGCCCTCACATGTATGAAAATGCCCCTGAGACAGAACAGTGGCGGCTCTGTGCTGTGCAAGTGTAAATCTTAAATTAATTCAGACAGTGGAGTCTCGTCTGCTCTGCTCAGATGGGATCAAAGTGGCTTTTCAGAAATCCTGCTCTTAGATTTTGCAGGGTACCTCTTGTGTTCCTGAAAGCGTGAAGAGAAAGGCAACCCTTTTCCGCATCAGCTTCTAGAGACTTGACTTCTATTTCATCTCAGATTGTACTGGAAGCAAAAAAACTTTGAACATATTCCTGAAACAAGTGGTGTCCAAAAGTCATTTGCAGATAGGAAACCAGTTAGCAGTGCCTAATAAGCACTCCTGCCTCTGGAAGTGATAACTAAATCTCCTGTGTTCATCAGAAAGCCTGAAGATGTTCAGAAACAGAGATATTTCAATGTGGGAGAAATGATTCACTAAAATGTTCTGACGAGCTCAGTGCACTACCAGCCCAGATGTAGCTACAAAGCATCACCACTGGCTGCACAGGCATGAAATGGAAGTTCAGACGTTGCAAACAATCTAGAACATTATGCTTCCATTCATCCATTGTATATACAATTGGTATCCTAGACCTGAATTAATAAGTGGGTTTCTGTGGCTTATTGAGCACACTTCTGCGGCTTATTGAGCACACTTCTGCTCACAATTCATGATTTCTCTCAAATGTGATTGAATTATTTTGACAAGTGTCTCGGCTTACACTTGTGGTGAGGATTCCTATCTTCCCTTAAATTTGTAGAATAATTGAATAGTTTGTGTTAGAGGGTATCTAGTCCAAGACCCCCTGCCATGAGCAGGGATAGCTTCAACTAGGGTTGCTCAGAACCCCATCCAACCTGTCCTTGAATGTTTCCATGTATGGGGCACCTACCACATCTCTCGTCAACCTCCTCCAGTGTTTCACCACCCTCATTGTAAACAACTTCTTTCTTATATCTAATCTATATCAACCCTCCTTCAGTTTGTCTGGTCATATCACTAAACACCCTTGTAAAAAGTCCCTCCCCAGCTCTCTTGTAGCCTCTTTAGATACTGGAAGGTGCTATAAGGTTTCCCTGGAGCCTTCTCTTCTCTCCCATACTGCAGAAGAGCAGATGCCTCATTCTGCTTCTCAAGGAACATCTTGCTTAAAGGCTTGAGTTTCCAGATGGAAGTGGACAAGGAAGGTCAGGGATAAGGTGAAAGTTAAATGCTTTTCTGAGGAGTCCTGTTGCTTCCTCTAGGCTGACAGCAACAGTAAACAAGCCATTGTTTGATGTGGGTGTTCCTTCAGATTCTGACTGTTGTAATTCCTCAGATAAGTAGCTGCCACTGAATTCCTGGAACAGATAGGAAGGATTTGGCTAGCTTGTCTTAATGTGACTTATTTTGTTTTCTGATGAGTCATTTTCATAGTCCAAACCCTTTTCAGTGCTACTGAAGTTACTGATCATCTGTCCATTAGTTTCCTTGGTCTTTGGACCACATCATAGTTTAAAATGAATGAACAGACCGTGTCATTTGGAAATGAGAATTTAGAACTATTAGTGATGCTGAGCTGTGACTAGGGGTAGAGTTTCTTGGTATTTTGAGCTAAGTGAACGTGACAGGATAATGTGAAGGGTGAAGGACCACAACATTTGCTTTAGAAGCGGAGAAATCCAGCATCAGACATGAGGCTTCATCTCTCATGGAATAAAAGTTGGAAAATATTTCACATGTGTCTGGAAAATACCCTAGGCACATGCTTGGGTACTGTCTGGCTCGTGATAGATCTCTGAATATCACTGTCAGTGTAATGCTGCTGTAATTAGCCATATGCCACCAGGAATATGGTAAGGATGGAAGAAGTTGCCCACAATTGCTATTCAAACACACCTGAGGCTGGTGTGAACAGTCTGCAAGGCAAAACAACAGGGAAGCCATACTTCTGGACTACTTTTAATTCTGAATCTAAAGCCAGGGCATTGCTTTATAATGCATTAAGATCACTGCTTGCTGTGAAAGATGCATTCAGAGAACTGAGGTACACCAGGGTACTCAACAGAGGGGCCTCCTTTCTCTGAATGAGAAACCTCCATAGGCAACAACATATTGAGCTCTCACTCAGCCCTCCCATCAAATTCCCTTTCTATCTCATTTCAATTTGCTTTCTAAGGCCAAATTTTCAGTCATTACAACTGAATCAACTAATGCTCCCTCTCTTTCTGTCCCTCTCCCTGGCACACCTCGTGTAACTGAGCCGAGTGCATTACCCAGTCTGCCTGTGTAATTTCAGTGATTTGTGTCACACGCAATCTTCTTTTTACCGCATTCATTGCTGCTCATTTGAGGGCATAATAACCTTCATTTTGCAATGAATGGCTTGACATTCCAGGAGGAAAGCTTATTGTGCACTAATGATCTGTTACATGGGCCCTCAGTTTATTATGGTATGTAATGGAAAATAAAATAAAAATTAAATATTGTGTGTACTTATCAGCTAATTTAAACAGTTCAGTATCTCAAATGTTGTATCTTTTCAGCTATTGAGTAGTGCTGTAATCTGCATTAAGAGATAGCTCCCTATAGATTTAGAAACAGCTCCCTCTATTTTTTTCTTTTTACTGAGCTGGTTTTGCTTAGTCAAAAAAGAAGAAATGCAAGCTAGGAATAAAGAATACAAAATGTATTCAAGTAGTATAGTTTCTCTTCTGATCTGTCTTCCCTCAGTTGTTTATCTACCCTGTGAAAATAACTGAGCCTCTACAGATTCATGCTGCATTATTGGAAGAGCACTTTTGAGGTGCTTGTTGGGAAGATGCATTACAACTGGAAAATATTGTGTGTTTGTTACAAGGAAAAGCCCTTCCAAAGCAGAACTAAGTCACTTTGGTCAGTTTGTAATTTACAGACAGTTTACTGGATTGCAGTTTTTCATAAGGAGAATACACCTGTAGGAGTTCTCATTGTGGAGAATGCAATGAACTGTCTGAACTTGATCCAGTCCTCAGGTAGATTTCCAAGGCTGCACCTTCCATAAACAAAGGCTGAGCTGCAGGTGCGACCAGTGGACATTGCCTGGATTGTGGCCTTTGGTGCTCACGGAAATCCCTCGCAGAACTTGGTGAGCCGTGTCATGATTATGAGAAATCATGAGATTTCACCACTCCTGGTTGGGGATATAAACTGTCTATAGGCAAAGATCCACTAGCAAAGGCAGCCGGACCCGAGCAAGGATGGTGTATGTAGGGAGAGCATCCTTCTTCCCTCTTCTTCCACTTTCTCATTCCACTCCTTCCAAGCTGTAAATCATATCCATGTCTGAGGTGCATGTCTGGATTATCAGATGATGAGGTATGAATGTTGCAGGCTTTGGCCCTGATGGCCTTTCTCATTCTATTATCAGTCTGGAGATACAGGACCTGAATCTTTGCAGCTAACTCTTTGGTTTCACTTCTGTGCTCTGATGAATCTTCTTGTTATTTCATAGATAAAGTCACAGCATCCAAGAAAGAAAAGTCTCTTTTTTCCCAGTACATCCCTAGGGTGATGTAGCAACATAGGCACCATTGCTGTGATTGGAACAAAGAAGCATGAGGAAGCCAGCTTTCACCAGGAATATTGAAGATCATTTCCACAAATGCTGAGATAAACCCCCTTTTTAAGATCTTTTCCTCTGTTAACATGTCTTCAGAATAAACCACAATGTATCTTGTAATTAAGATGAAATATCTCCAATTAACATCACTGCTCAGCTGTTTCAAATCTGGTCCAAGAAATGACTTGAGGTTTTTTCTCTCTCCTTCTAGGAATGCTCTCCATATGCAGCTCACTTATATGATGCCGAAGATCCCTCCACCCCCGTGCGGACGATACCAGGACTTTGCCAGGACTATTGCACACAAGTGTGGCAGAACTGCCGCTCCATCTTTCGCCTCCTCTCTGCAGACCGAGAGTTAATTGCACTGGAAAACAACATGGCAAAACTCTGCCGTTATCTGACCTTGGAGGACACCGACTACTGCTTCCCACACCTGCTGGCCAACCAGAACCTTAACCAAAACCTGGGGTTAGTCACCGCCGACGCGGAGGGCTGTCTCCAGCTCTGCCTCGCGGAGGTCGCCAACGGGCTGCGCAATCCCGTTGCGATGGTGCACGCCAACGATGGCACCCACAGGTTCTTCATCGCAGAGCAGGTTGGCCTGGTGTGGACCTACCTCCCCGATGGATCCAGGCTCGAAAAGCCATTTCTGAACGTCAGCGAAGCCGTACTTACCTCCCCGTGGGAAGGAGATGAGAGAGGGTTTCTAGGTATTGTCTTCCACCCTAAATTCAAATTTAATGGTAAAGTTTATGTTTACTATTCAGTTGAAGTTGGTTACGAAGAGAGAATCCGGATCAGTGAGTTCAGAATTTCTCCTACTGACATGAATGCCTTGGACCATAGTTCTGAAAGGTATTGTATACACATTTCTCTGCCAAATGTATTTAAGATTTCAGAGGACAACTTGTGCATTTTTAAAGGCTATTAATGAATGAGACTTATTAACTTAATATTGTTCTTGCAATCCAGTGTGTCAGCACGTTAGTCCAAGTCCATGTCTAGCATGTTGAAGTACAGAATGTGTGTGTCCTCCATGGATGAACTGCAAGTGTTCAGGGATAAAACATTTACAATTCTCAGTTCTAGTATGTCAGAGGATTTAACTGAACATGGATGAAACATTATTTACAGTTAGTATTTTGGTTTTTTGGTTGGGTGTGGAGTTTTTTCTGGTTTGGTTTTTTTTGGTTGGTTGGTTGGTTTTCTTATTGTTTTGATTACACTTTAAAATAGACATTTGCAAATTCATTCTGAAGCCAAAGGTTTCCAAAATCAGTATGAGCAAACTGAGTGATACCAGACCAAAGATGGATTTGGTCCCACATTTCTTTATCTGAACAACACCTCAACCCTGTGATATTAGAAATTTAGTATCAAATTAAATAAAATGCAAGCCACTATGTTATTACCAAGTGCATTTTGATTGGAAATGTCATTTGTTTGAGTCTGGTCCTGCAGTTGATCCACATTAATATGCACAGATAATGAGAGGCTTGTTTGTGGAGTCAGTCTGTAGATTTATAACCGCGTCAGAGATCCGCTGTTTTAAGAGATCCTTGAATGTTATGAATGCTAAGATTTTTGCTTGATATGTGATCTGAGTTAGGGGCTTTCCAAATACTCAGCTGTGGATGATTCTAGCTCAAAAATGCACATAGCCTAATGATAGAAAGGGGATACTGGTTTATAAAGCAATTAGAGCAATTCAGTGTAAGCAGCACTGTAGATGACAGGTAAGGGGAATTAAATGTGGTCCTCAGGAAAGCAAGTCAGGACCTTAAACCTGCAGATGTCAGGGCCCATGAGCTGTCTTGTTTAAAAATCCTCAGGGTCTATGTTTGTAACATTTTCTTTGCTTATTTAGCTTATGGTTAGTATGGCAAAAGCTTAAGGAAACAGAATTGTGGTCCTGTTGTGCTTGTGTAGGCACAGGTCCCACTGACTTCATCCTGTGATGCTGCCCAAGAGGGAGCTCAGGCTGACATGTGGTGTGCGTTGTCTCGGCACAAAGGCGTGTGTCTGTTTATCCTCAGATACTTGCTCAGTGTATTTTGGGTTTTTTCCATCTTCTTTGAGAGGCTGAGGAAGATTTACCTCTGTGTCTGTACAGGATCCTCCTTTGCTCCTTCTGCTAGTCGGAGTCTGTGCACTCTTGCACAATTACCTTATCACAGAGGTGGTGACATTTAACAGGAGGTGACAATAACTCCATAGTTGGGTTCCTTCCCACAACTCATAATAACTATCAGTATTTCTGACAGGAAAAAAACCTAGCTAAAAATGAAGCGGTGTAAGTGAATATTATAATTTGCTTTTGTAGGTGTTAAGATGCACTGCGAGCATGAAATCTGGACTTTTTTTAGAAGCTGGAGTGAAATAAACTTCAGTTGTTACACCTGGAAACCTTCACTGCGTAGATTTGTGCCTTTACCATTCTGTAAAATTATACTTTAGGTATTTTACCCTTTCCTTACTATGATAGGTGCATAAAATAAACAAATAAAAGAGAGAGTTTGGATTTAATATTAAGGTAAATTTTGTTGGTACTCCTTTGAATAACCTTTGTCAAAATGTCGGTTTTTTGGTGGGGCTGCTTTTAACTGCTCTTTAAACTCATAAGGTCCTGAGTGTGTAATTCTCATTTAAGGATTCTTCTCTCCGTAAGAATTCAACTATTCCTTAATGTTTGAAAAGTTTTATGTTTGCCTTGAAAGAGCCTGTCAGGATTGTGCCAAATGCTGTACAGATGCACAGATGGACTAGAGTCCTTTCTCTTGCAGTTTACAATTGCATATAAACTCAGGTGCCTTTTCTTTAAGAAATATAAAGAAAAATAGAAAAGAACTTTAACAAGGAGGAAGAAAGAATCAGAGGAAAAGTATAAGTAATTAAAAATATATCTTGTCGTGTGATTTCACAGATTTTCCATATTACACAATTTGGCGTTTCTGTAATCTGGAAAATATGTTGGAACTATTTAAGGTTAGAAAATCAGTTATGGCCAAGCAAAATTCAGTAACGTGGACATGGAGGAATTTGCATCAAAACCGACCTGTAACCTTGGCATCTGTTAAGGGCAACATTGGCATGACATTGCTTTGCCCTTTGCTTAGGCAATTGGGGTAGATAATTGCCTTCTCCCTGTTTTCATTTAGGATAATCCTGGAAATAGAAGAACCTGCTTCCAACCATAACGGAGGAGAGCTGCTCTTTGGAGATGATGAATATCTCTATATATTTACTGGAGATGGAGGCATGGCTGGGGATCCTTTTGGGACCTTTGGAAATGCCCAGAACAAGTAAGTGTGGATCCTGTCGCAGCTCCAGGCTACCAGCACGTGTCCACGGAGCAGTGGGGCGTGGGAAGTCAATGCCAGCCACCTGAAGGCTGTTTGGAGGCAAAAGAAATTATCTTGAAACGGTTGCTTTTTCAGAGATATTCAGAGACTTGTCTTTTTCAAGACAGAAAGAATGAAACCCTAGACCTTCCAAAACCCCCATCTCTGATGTTTAAGCAAGGTCTAGTTTTATTTCTTTATCTTTTCCTCTTTTTCTTTTCTTCTCCCAATACAGATCAGCCCTGCTGGGCAAAGTGCTGCGGATCGATGTGAACAACAACGACCGTGGGCCCCTGTACCGGATCCCTCCCGACAACCCTTTTGTCAACGACCCTACGGCTCGCCCTGAAGTCTATGCCTACGGAGTGAGGAATATGTGGCGCTGCTCTTTTGATCGGGGTGACCCTCACACCAAGGAGGGGAAAGGGCGGCTCTTCTGTGGAGATGTGGGGCAGAATAAGTACGAAGAAATTGACATCGTCGAGAAAGGGAAAAATTATGGCTGGAGAGCGAGGGAAGGGTTCAGCTGTTATGACAAAAAACTTTGTGCCAACTCTTCAATGGGTAAATAGATGTGCTCTCTAAACTACCTGCGTCTTCCACTGCACAGTTTTCTGCGCCATCATTTTTAATTCCTGCCCTCGAAGCCTGGCTGCTTGGTGGTAAACATACCTCTTTGAGATGTAAATCTTTACTGTCTTAGTCTAGAAGGGAACTGACTTGGACACAAATATTGAAAGTCCAAATGTTGTTGTTTCTGAATTAGGAGGAAACAGGCTAGCTGTTGTTTTTCTAGGTGATCTGTGTTGTTAGTCAAATTACTTGGTAATTCTGTGACAGGGGGACAATTTCATCTTTGCCACATGAAATAAGCTTTCATGCAAGAGCAAGAAAAATTTGGAGAAATTGTATTTTTCTCTATAACTCACAAGTAGTTTCCTTATTTTTTTAAAAAAGAGCAAAAACATATCATGTAAGTTGATCAACCCATATGCACACCGCCTGCTTTGCAGGTAATTGAACGTATGGTGTATCTTTGTTTCTTTTAGCTATGCCAAAAAGAAAAAGCTTATTTTATTTTCATTTTTTTAAACCGTTCAAAACTGGATTCAAGGTATTTGCTGGCTGGCTAAATTCCAGTGCACATGTTAAGTCAGAGTGTATAGTGTTGCAAGGTCTGATGTGGACCACATCTTGTGCTGGAGCCTCTCCCCAGAGATCCAGGGGGGCAGTGGGCTGGAACTGATTTGCATTAGCTGAGATTCTGATTTTTTTCTCTTCTACATGCTATGTCCTATGTGCTGTTATTTAACTTTCTCCCTTTTATTAACTTAGCTATAATTACGGTGGTAGTGATGAAGTATTTTTTTATAAAAATTTTGAGAGCAGGGAGCAGATTATTCACACTCCCTTTCTGAAGCAGTTGTCAGAGAGCTCATTCAGTGCTCTCCTGTGTGACAGCATCACGTGAGCATTCATGGCAGGCACTGTACTGAGGTCTCCAGGGATTCAGAACAATTTTTGATGCCTTTAGAGACCCTTTTGTTAGAACAGTGAAATGTCACAGCCCTTTTAGAATAAGTACAGCTGAAGGGTAGAAAACACCTGCTTTAGATGAAATGCCTCTGGTGCAAGTTCCTCGCTGGCAGAGCGGCTGCGTTTGCTCCTCCTTGAGGCATTTGGTACACAGTCAGGGAGAAAGGCTGTGAGGACGGGAAGGAGTGGGTACCATGAGGTAACTGTGACCCAGGAGTTTTCAAAAGAAAGGGAAGAAGGCACCAAATCAAGACCCTCAAAATCAGGACATCTCCCTCTGTTTTATGTCTGTCTTGTATTTTAACTTATATTTTAAATGAATATGCCAGTACTACATCAAGCCTGTGCCATACCATAAATATTTGATGGCCCTTTCAAGTTAGCTCCCCCATCTCAGAGGAAGAGAAGCTATTTGTGCTGACATCTGACATATCTTTTCATCAGTGCCTGCAGTCTGGAGTTACCCATCTCTTTTTTTCCTTTCACCACCTAAAAAAAGCTGCACTGAGCAAACATCTCCTGCATGGATGCGGTGACTCCAAGATTAACCTGCAAATTCTTAGTGAAACCATCCAGGCTCTGTAGAAATGGGTCAGAAGTGGCACTAAAAGAGATGGGCTGTAGTGAGAGAAGGACTCAAGAGAGCAGTGAGGTCTTGGTGAGTCTTGGTGATGGGCAGACCTACCAAATGTGATTCCAAAAAGGTGAATATCAAACTAAATACAACTCCATCATCACTTCATTTAAATAGAAGGTGCTCCAGTGAACCTGACTGCACACTGCTAGTCTCAGAACAATCTAGATAAACAGCTATTCTGCAGCACATGTCAAACAAGTCACAGATCTTTTCTGCCCTACAGATGATGTGCTCCCAATTTATGCGTATCCACACAAAATGGGGAAATCTGTTACAGGAGGCTATGTCTATCGGGGCTGCGAGTATCCAAACCTGAATGGCCTGTACATATTTGGCGATTTTATGAGTGGGTAAGTAAACACTTTGGACACTCACCAAGTTGTACCCCTAGCCAAAATGCCTCCAAATCTTATGGTCCTTAAACCCTGCCCTCTTTTTTTTTTAATGTGTTTGTGTTGCCACTGAAAGACAAGGGGTTGCATGCAGGGTGTATAATACATTTGGTTTAATATTAACAGTTCTTCATTTTTCAGAGAAGCTGCAGTTCCTATTGCAGCTACTGTGGATAGGAAGCATTAAACATCCTTTCAGGTGTCCCTGTTAATGTTCATAAATCACCTTGATTGGGTTGTGGAAATGTTCTTTTGCCTTGCAGACGCCTGATGTCTTTGAAGGAGGATCATGCTACTGGAGAGTGGCAATACAGCGAAATCTGCATGGGGGCAGGACAAACGTGCATGTTCCCTGGGCTTATCAATAACTATTACCAATACATCATCTCTTTCGCTGAAGATGAAGCAGGTAATCTTTTAACTTTTTGTCACACCGGATGACATGTTTGTGTTTTCTCTTTAGACTAGAACACCAGAGAAGGGATCAGAGAGGGCTCCTGGGAGCAGCGGGTCGTGGGGAGGCAGAGCATGAGTCTGTCAGTCTTTAAAATGGGAAACACCAAACCAAAGTTACAATGCTAATTTTTGAGGTCTGTGTGCCATAGAGTGCCTGCAGGGGGAATTGGAGAGTCAGTTCCCTTGGGACTGATTCTGGGTGCACTGGACTGTGCTGCTGCCTGCATACCTACCCTCTGGAGAGCAGGGAACAGTGGGGGCAAGTAGAATAAAACACAGCTTAGAAAAGAAACCTCATTCTTCACAGTGCTATGCCGTGGGGAATGGAGGCCCTGGCAGCCTGAGAAGCTGATACCCAAGTGAGAGCAAGTCTATGTTCTTGGCTAGTCAAGAAGGCTGTGGGCATTATTAATGGATACAGGGAAGCAGATGTCATGAACAGCAATTTTGTACCTGCTCACCCTGGGCTGGAATATTTGTAACTCTCAAGATGAAGCAGAATGAAAGCTCTGTGTTATGTCTTGAGTGAGGCATTAGCAAAAGGCTGCTTAAGTCCATATTTTATTAGTGTCACCTGGGATTTTTCCCTTGCATAGGACTGAAAGATACAGTCTCAGTGGAGCTTTGCATAGATGTGTTTTCAAAACTGGAGAAATTTTACTTTCTAGAAGGGAGATGCTGTGATTTGAAAAGGAGGAAATAAAGAATCATGGGGTGAAAGTTGTTGGTTGCTCCCATTGTTCATACAAGGCTATTGCAGAGCGTGCAGCCCCTGCAGCCCCTGGATGGGAATGGGGGGAGCATGAGCCCCACAATGTTCAACATCATTGCTAAGTGACACACCACATGTGTGACCCAGCAATGCAGGAGTTGTGTTCTGCCCTCTTTCAGGGGGGTCCTGGCTCACAGTCACATGCACCTGCTTCCAGAATGCCCCAGCTTTTAAACATCTGTTTTTCCTGCAGATTATGTCAAGTTCACCTTAATGTCAAGTGCAATATCAAGCTGTTAGTGGTGGCCCTTGCTCATGCACGTGGGAATCATGTCCCTTGTCCTGCATCTGTCAACAGAGTCTGGACAAAGTGGGGGTGAAACATTGTCACCCTTCTGCCCTGCACTTTTCACATGTACCTTGATTAAGTACAATAGAGCTGAGTGGAGATTTGGGCTGGAGTATCTTTTCAGAGGTAGTTAGTTGCTTTGTGTTTGCTTTATAGTAATGGGAAAAAATCTGTTGATAACAGTGTAGTGAGGTTGGTTTATCTTCAGTGAACAGCCTTATCTTGCACGTTTTGTGTGCTGGGAATCTAATTTTTATTATTTTTTCACAGTTTATTTTAACAAGGTTTTCTTTATGGAAGTATTTGAATTTTGGGGTTGTTGCTCTGATGAATGTTAATCTGGCTGGTGTAGTGGATGTATTTATTTGGTGGAGACATCTATATTTTTGGCTTATTGCACAGCCATTATAAAGCCAAAAGCCCTGTGCCTGGGCAGTGGATTGTCAGGACACCCCAGGCACTGTGCCACGTCTGTGGGGCACATGTGTGTAGCCTGTGTGCTTCATGGCCTCAGCATCCATACTTCTGCCTGATAATTTTCAGGAAAGAGGGGCAGGATATAAAGCACACATCACTGCACTACAAGATGCAGTGCTGGGTGTTTCCCGTCTCTGTTTGGATCAAGGGTGCCTCTGGCCTATCATTAATGAAGCTCACCAGAAAAAGGAAGAAACCAGCCAGGAGTGGCCAGAGATGGCTGGTTTCTACCCTGGGAGCATCAAGAGGAGCTCAGCCCAGGGCAGCACAGGAGAGCAGGTAGGAGGAGGGAGGCTTAGCACCAGCTGCCACCAATTCCCACACCTTCCTTTGCTCACTCTGACCCCTCTGCTCCTTCCCTTCTTCCCTGTAGAGTATCCATAGGGCACCCAAAGAAATCTGCCTTGCTCGCTAAGCAAGTCTCCACGTCTCCACTGTCTCTTTTTCTTTTTTCTCTTTTTTTTTTTTTTTAAATATTGCAAATTTATTTTTTCTCTCTCACCCTTTTTGTTGCACCTCTCAAGCACTTCAGTTGGCAAAAGAGTGCCAGAGGGACTGCTTATCCTAGTCTCCCCTGCACAACAGGAGAAGAAGGATAGAAATGCAGTTAAGAGAAAATAAGTCAAATAAATGGTGATGTACATTGTTTGGCTGAAGGTCGAGCCCTATCCTTGTGACCTGACAGAGGTGTGATGAACCAAATGCCTTTTGTGTGAGATACATCTCATTTTGTGAGTGTCCTAAAGTAAGGAAAAGCAAAACCTTATTCTGCTGCCATTCACCCGAAGGAGTGCTTAATCCAAATGAGCAGAAGACAGTGAACTTTCCTAATTTCCTTTCATTTTGTTTCAACAAAGGTAATTCAGGCTTTGACTGTTTTGCATTAGAGACATCAAAGGACACAGATCAGAATGAGATGACAAGTGAAGTCTGGGCAGGTGAACTTGCAGTGGAAATTTGTCCAAATAATATGATGCTATGTAAAAGGTCCCACTCACTAAGAGTATTTTATGCCAATGAACTGCAGATGAACTCTCACTACAACCCCAAATTTTAACCTGCCTTTTTTCCTCCAATATCCAGATCTCCACGCTGGTTTGCATTTCCCAATGCTCTCTGACCTGTGATACAGAGTTAATGTCTTTGTGCTGTACAGGACAGAAACTCCATGGAAAGTTTTCATGGCTGTGCCTGTTTTCTTCCCAGGGGAATTGTACTTCATGTCTACTGGTGTACCAAGTGCCACGGCTCCCAATGGAGTGGTGTACAAAGTGGTGGACACCTCCAGGTACGAGATGTTCTTCTTGCAAAGCCTGGGTGTGGTGCAGTGAGTCCAGATGTGGATGTAGTGAGTGATGTCTGACTCACTAACTCTTCTCCCATGATGGGCCCTTCTGTGAAGATTGTTCAAGGAACATCTGGAGCAACCCATTGTGGGTCTGCTTTGCTCTGGCAGTCGTGGGGCTCTGCACTGCCTGGTGCCAACTTGTTATGGGGCCTGTTGGTGTCATGTGGGTTGGGAGATTTGTTCCTGAATGCTAAAGCTGTATTTTATAGGTAGCTTGTCTTTCTTGGGCAAAGTTTCTCTAGATTCCTGCCCAAAAGGAGGCAGTTTTTCTCCAGGTCTTTATTCTCAGTTCCTCTCCATCCCTTGTATCCACAAGAGCCTTGTGGCCAGGCAGCTGCAGCTGAAGCTGGACCAGCGTGACCTGCAGTGCTTTCTTGAGCAAATCAGAAATGAATGTCAAAAAGTACATTTTTTTAATGTTTCAAAGAGAAAAATGGATTGGACAAGAAAATAGAACCATTGTTACACCTTCTGGATTCCACGTGTGTGTATCTGAGACTGGGCAAGGTAGGGAATAGCTGTGTTTTATGGGAAGACTTACAGATGTTTTTTCCATCTTCCTGTTTTTTAAGCATTACTATTATTGGCTAAACACCAAGCTGCTTTCAGCCAGAAATGGAGAGTGAGATTTTTGTAGCTTTTATTGTTTTACATGGATTAAATTTACAGCTTTAGCTATCTGAGCATTTTGAACCAAACCACTTGTCTAGTTTTATGTTGAAACCAGTCCCCAAAGTTAAATAACCCCAGAGCTGTCACGTGTTTTCCTCCAACTCTCCTCTGTCAGGAGCATTTTCCATTATCTAACACAGCAGAAGAGTTCCTGTAAACTATGTATTAAGAGTCTGGTATTACGCAACCTTTGCAAAAATAAGGAAAGTAGAAGTCAAAAGCAACTCATAAATTTAAGTTTAAAAAGAAGGTTTGTTCATGTACAGAGTACAGAAAAAACTCACAGGAGAATTCATAAAAGTAGGGAACATCCTTGTGTAGGTAGCTGAGAGAAAAGCTCTCTGCCTTCCACAGAAATGCAGATGCAAACAATCCTAATAACAAAGGAGTTATACTGTCCTAATGCAAACACCATGCATTGTTGAGCCAATTTGAAAACCTCTGAAGAAGTCTGAGGATTAACAAGACAGCTGTCATAGGAAAAAATGGTTAGGAACTGCATGTAACTTCTCAGAGGTGAAATATACCTCTACAGCAAACAAATTTGTGTCAAAATAATGCACCATAGTAAGAGAGAGCCCCTGTAGGGGACACTTAGACTTTGTTTCTGAAACTAATGCATTTTTGGCACTACCTTTGTTTGGGCTTTCTGAATGAATAATAGTGTGTTATTTTCCTTCCGTGAAGACAGTCTGAAAAGTTGTGCACACATGACCTTTATGTCAGATGTTCAATACACGCTGTCTAGTTTTGTATTTTTTATTTTCAGTTTGACTAATCTCTTTCTGTAGTGCTTGAACCTGCCAATGCTTTATTTCCTTAATGGATTCAATAGTGGCAAGTGAAAACACAGCCAGAGGACTCCACTGCCTCTTGAATATTTGGACTTTGATCAGTGGAGATCTGTGATTGTTTAGTTATGCTTTCTACTGTAAGAGATTACTTGCATCATTTAAACAGACATTTATTTTTTTCCAATGAGCATTACATTCATAGAAAAACAATGGGAAGCAACAGCTTGCAATGCCAGAGGAAAGGAATTAATTGTGCACTGTACGTGTCCCTTTTTTTACAGGAGAGCACCACCAGGAAAATGCCGAGTTGAGCCATCGCCAGTGAAAGTAAAAAGCAAGCGCATCCCATTTGTGCCAAAGGAGAGTGAGTGTCACTGTTGCTGCTTATTATTGGTGCATCTTAGCTGGCAGTAGATACAAACTCCACACTTGTACTATCTCCACACATGTGGAGACCATCCAGAACTTCACTCTTCAGAGTACCCTCAAAATTAATTCTTACCAGCTGTTTTGGATCTGAAGAGTTGGTTCAAATAAGGCATAAAGTATTTCCCCTGTCCTGACCATGTGAAATTTCCTTTGTAGTTTCTGGCCCCGTACAATCTCCCTTTTCCATGATACATTGTACTTGTTTCATTACCACCAACTGGGTTTCCCTGTAACTGTATGGAGACCCTGTGCTCAATGGTACTTTTCAGTGACACATGATTTTTTGCAGTGCTTCAGGTTGTGAGGAGTATTTCAAGAGATGAAAGACATGATTGCTGAAGGGTTGGGAAGTAGCTCATTGAGTAAGATGAAGGCTGAGTCATTGTTAGTTGAAAGTGAGAGAATATGGGATGATAAAATGCTCCCAGGAGAATAAGTGATCAGTCACTGAGGTGAACTTTTGGCTTACCTAAACCCTCCAGGGCTTCTTGATTGCTTCATACTGCATGAAGTATTGAAAGTAAAGAGCAGTCAGTGATGTAGCTGAATTTGCAGCAAGCCAAGTACTATTTATGTTAGATGCAACACCCTAAATACAATATTAGAATCTCAGGATTAGATTAGGCAGTATCACTGTTCTTTTCCCCTGTGCATTTAGTTTACACACTTAAGTACCTAGGCAGTACTTTCACAACTTCCCTTCAAAGTCAACATATTCTATGGACTCACTTTGGCACAAAGTTAATATTACTGTAGGGACTCTAAAGTCAGGATACTCTAAAGTCAGGATACTTTTATTTAATTTTTAATTACATTAATCATATTACACTGTATTTGAGTCACTGACAGTTCCTGCAGCTCTGGCTTCAGGGAAAAATGAGGGCACTCAGCACCTTGCAAGATTGAGTCTTTAAGGTGGAACAAGATCTAAGGCTAATTATTGACTGTTGACACGCCTGAGCATTCAGCACATCTTCAGATATATTCGCCTTTGCAAGCTGGGCAGCAGTTTCCAAACATTAATAACTTGTTTCATGTTCAACCAGTTCTATCTCTGTTTCTGCTTATACATTATTCCCTATGCAAGTCCAAAGCTCAGATTTTTAAACTATATATATAAGTAGATATTTTGGGTTTGTTTACAAGTTAGTTTTCATCATAAATTAAAACATAGAAATGGTGGGAGAGATTCTACGAAGTGTCTCATGAACTAAATTCACTTTTTGGTGAAAACCAAACACGAACATTTTGATTCTGAAGCACGCAAACAAGGACGTGTAGGTGTAAATATTTACTGTTTTGGTTAGTATTTAGTGTGAATGTAACAGAATCACTAAGGCATGTGGTTTGCATTAGCTGGATGAGTGCATTTGTTGGAAGTGTATTTTATAAATAGTTTAACAAAGAGTAATATACAATAACAACTTGATTCAGTGAGGTGAAAAGCAGTCCCAGGTGACCACTAGCTTTCATACAGCCCTACAGATCATTATATGAGTTCCAGGATTTTTAAGTGCCCTGCTAGATCAGGCTCTGGCAACTGAGCTGTGCACAGGTAAGGCTTTCAAATCCATTTCTTGCCTTCAGAACCTCAGCTACCAAAGAAGGGAAGTATTTTCATGTCACAAGCACAATTCCTCTTCAAAGAGCACTATCTGGAAAAAAAATGGACCACTGCAAGGGTTTCTCTTCTGGGGACAATAGATATTAAGTACAAATAAGACAGTCATATTTTTCCTCCTCTTTGTACTACAAAGCAAATGATGAATGAGAATGGATAAATCTGGGATATAATTCAAATAGTCATGATGTCTTTGCAAATGTCTGTGACACTGTCCCAGCTCAGTTGATTGTTATTCTGAGAAATTCTGAATTGATTCCTTCTGGCAAACCAAAACTTATTTTTAAGCTAAAAATAAAGCACATGTGAATAAGCAAGTCCAGTAATGCCTGGAAACTGTGACAGCAAAGAATTTTCAGCTCTTCAGAGTTCAAGGCTCTTTTTTTTTTTTCATAAGGAAGAACAAACCCAACCTCAAATCCTGTTTTATGTGTTGTCCTGGCAACTCTGTTCCTCTTGCACATTCCAGTTGCCAGAGAGAATTGATTTTGAATGTTCCTGATTTCAGCTCCTCTGAATAAAGCATCTGACCCAGTGGGGAGGCCACGCTCTCCTCTGGTAATGATCCAATCCTTAGAAATGAAGAGAAGAGCAGAAATAGTGCCTGTCTTTAGAATGCTTTCTGCAGGAGAGAAGGCTATGGTGGGGAAGTCCTCTGCTGACTGTGAAACTCCAGCGCCCACCCTTTAAGGGCCAGGCTGAGATTTTGCTTATTTGCCAATAAACTGCTTGGAGTTTCCTTTTTGGGAGAGGGCTCACGTGTTGGCATTCTGCCCTGCCGTCCTCTCTTGCTAACTGAAAGCAGCCGACATTCTTTTTGCTGAGGAAATACTGGCTCACTGGGAGCATTGTCACTTCTCAATGGGATCAAGTAGGCAAATTGCAAGAAATTAGCTAAATAAGTAAAAAATCAGCAGTGCTTTCATATAGTTGTCTTCAAGTATTGTCCACAGAGTGACAGACTCATGGTTTCCCGTTTTTTTTCCCCAACAGAGTTTATTATGCAAGCACCGACACCCCAACCCCGGCTGAAGACCACGACCGAGGCCCCATGGGGAGGTAGGCCAGACCCCAAAACCCCCACCACAGCAGCGCCCAGTGGCAGGACCCCCAAGCCCCGGAAGGGAGCAGAGAAGAGGGGGCAGCGCAAGAAGAAGAAGCCACGGAACGGCGCCGTGCGGCTGATGCAGCAGGGGCGCCGCGGCCGCGGCCGAGGCCGGGTGGAGATTTACATCGACGGCGAGTGGGGCACCGTGTGCGACGACGGCTGGAGCTCGGCCGCCGCCGCCGTGGTGTGCCGCCAGCTGGGCTTTCCCTACGTGGTGCGGGCCACCAAGAAGGCAGAATTCGGGGAAGGGACCTCCCTCCGCATTCTCCTGGATGATGTCCAGTGCTCCGGGCAGGAGAGGACGCTGCTGGAGTGCTCCCACGCCGACGTCGGCAAGCACAACTGCTCGCACGAGGAGGATGCTGGCGTGGTGTGCAGCCGGGAGGAGGTGGCAGACTGGTGACAGGGGAATTGGGGAAGGCAGCAGAGGGACTTGGAGCACATCCCTTTCCTGCCCAATCCTCTAAACCAGCTGCAGTTTTGCGGAGGGTGTGCCCTGTCTTGAGGGTGTTGTGCCTGTTCAAAGTAACCTCATGATTTTCTTCATGTTTGTCCCCATGCATGTGCCTTGGAGGGAAAGAAAAAGTAAAACGAGTATGTTGTTGAGTATGTTGTGGGCAGGAACTACATTTCTATGGGTTTTTTAATAAGAAAACCTCAAACATCAGCCTTTATAGATTAGAAAAGAGATGCATCCTGTTGCCCTTTCCCTTTCAAAATACAGCATTCCTCAGCTGTGCTTCACAGTGTTTTGCCAAAAAATAAATTCCCAAATGACTGTGTTTTGCTCTAATGGAATCATTTGTGTTGCTTGCCTTGCTTTGCCACCTGCAGCTTTGAGCAGCAGTTTTTAATATGTGTAAATCTCTGCCTTTCTTTGCAAAATACAAAAGTATATATTTTTTTAACTTTCCACTCACTAGTTTAAAGAAAAATTATTTTTCTCTAATCCTTTTTATTGATATAAACCTAGTGGTCATCAAGGATAACTGTGTCTAAGCAAAATCAGATAATAAAAGAAAAACCCATTACATACAGCCTGGAAAAATATTTCTGCAGTTTACACTAGCCCCAGTGGAAAGGAAATCTGACCCCTTTTACACGGATAGGATTGAAAATCTGTCCCTTTTTACATTAACAGGATCATTATCCTGTTTAACCCTGAAGATACTTCGTATGTGTTTCTCCACTCTCCCAAATTATATGAAGCCACATGTTTTTGCATTCAGATTTCATGGGTATGAGTTACTACACAAGAGGTAATATACTGAGGTAATAATCCTGTAATATTTAACTCTTTTTAGGGGATATTAAAAAAAAACACACAAAAACCTTATTTTGTCTAAAATATATTTTTTCACCTGAGTAGTTATTGGAGACACGTGTTCTCCTCTTGTGGTCTCTCTGCATATGAAAGTATTTTGCCTGGTTATTTTTTCCCCAGTGTAATCAGGATACGGTTTGTTTTGCTGGTCACTCAAGAACATAAAAAAGACAAGAAAAACCCCAAAAACAAAACGCCAAATGTGAAATGACTAGTGTGTCCAGAAAAATTCACAAATAAAACCTTGTATCTAAAGCTCTTACTGTGGGTATTTATTTTAATTCCCCAGTTTCAAGTTGACAGTGTTCTCTTAAACCTAAGACATTGATATATAGGGTAAATTAATTTTTTTTAAATATTTTTCCTGAACTTTCTGATAAACTCATTAAATTCTTTTTGATATTAAATAATAACTTTAATATACAAAACCAGACGATAAAAAAAATTTTCCCCCTACTTCTTATGAAGAATAAAGGGGGAACAGATGTAGAAAGTGCCTTTAGAAAAGTACTACTCTCATTTTGTTGGAAAACCTACAAATGCATCAGGCACCAGACTGTCATTAGGCTTTTCCTATTGCAGTGAAGTTGCAAACTCATTTATTTAAATAAGTGCAGAATTCACTTCAGTCACATCGAAACCTTCAGGGAACAAGAGAGTCCATTGCAAATTTTTCTGTTTAAAGACTTGGCGCCTGTTGAGCTGATGGGACTAGAGGGCTGGAAGAAAACAGAAGGTGGAGATATACAGTCTTTCTTTTTCCAAATTCCTCTCCTGCTTCTTTTGGTTCCTAAGCCAAATTTCAGCTAGCTCCAGCTGGGAGATTTTAAGAAGAATCTTGGTCATAGCTACGCTCAAAAACTTCTGGGTAGAAAAACGACCTGCACAAGAAAAGTTACCCTAAAAGAATTGAGGTGATTCCAGGATCTCTGCCGTAGGCCAAATAAACAGAAATTTCACCACCGTTTTCTAGGTACTTAAATACTTCCTTTCTCCTTTTAACTGTTGGTTACCCTACACCTGCTGTAGCCCCTTTGAACCTCCTGAGCACAAGCAGAAGTCACCCACACCTTGCATATTGCCGGTGGTGATTGCCACCACCCCTGCCTGGCAGGCAGGCGGTAGCACAATCTCTGCTGGCAGCCAAAGGCAGACGGAATCCAGCCCACAAGGAGCCGCCGCCGCTAAGAGCGGCTCTGCTGACGGCAAACACAGAGCCCGACACCCCCAAGTGTTTGCTGATGAGGTGTTTGCCGATGATGTTTTGTGGGTGCCGCCAGCTTCACAGGGGAAATATTTATCAGCAGAGAAAGAGACAAGACTTGCAAAGAAGTTTTGGGTTTTTTTTCCTCTTAACCTTTCTCCCAGCCTACCCCGGGTGGGGAAAACATTCAAATAGGAGCATGCCAGCCCAGTATGCACCGCTATGCTGGCAAGGTGTTTCTGATCATTGTGGTCCCCTCCAAGCTTAAAATACATCTGTTCTAAATCCTGGTATTTGTCTGTCTAGTTCTCTGGTATTTAAATAATAAGCCTGTACTACTCAAAGCGCAGAAGTAACGTGCATTTAAATACCTGCTGTGTCATCTGTTGGATGACATAGTAAGGATCTGTAGATTCTTACTGATAGAATTTTTCTTCATTTAAAAATGCACTTATTTAGCAGGATGTCACACAAAATAGGCACTAGATAAACAAGTAAGCCCTGCTGCTACAGTTGAACATGACAGTGTATTTCCTGGACGCTGATTCAGAATAAAGGTTTTTAAATAGCCCATAGTAATGCTGGTTACCACAGTGCAACCAGTCTCCTGCATGTGTTATGTGTCAGTCCCAAACTTTTGACTGGTGGCAATATGGTTTATTGCCTTGTCTCCTGATTCAACTCTGACTGAGACTGGAGCATCTGCACTTTTCCTTACACATCTTTCCTTTCCCTATATTAGCACAGCTGCATCATGTGGAGGACCCAACATATCTGTAAGGGAATAGTGTAGACTCAACCTTTCTACCTCTTTTTCTCTACCTCCAAGGCAGAGTAGCTCTGAGCAGAGCTCAGGGGTTTTCACTTAAATTGCTTCTGGACCCAGCAGCCAGCCCAAGCACTACCACACTCTGTCACAGTCTGTGGTATAGACATTATCTTCAGGCAGAAATCATTTGAACTTACCATGTTCTTTCCAGGATATCCAATAGACAAATCTTCCCACATGGATCTGGAAAAAATCCTCAGAGCTTGTTGCCTAAGCAATGAAGAGAGAATGAAACAGGCAGGGTGTTGCAGGGGGGACACTTGCTCAAATGCTGGCAAAACCCTTCTGGGCGCTGAGCCCTGGATGGAGCACACCATGAGGATATCTGCCATGTCAAGGGAACTTGGGCTCTGCCCAACTTCTCTGTGTCAGGTTTCAGGGTATGAGCAGCATAAGGCACATGTATCACATTACCAAGCACAGCAGTCTGTAATCAAATAGTATTGAAGCCATGACTCAAGTTCAGAAAGATCAGCAGTGACACTGTGGGTGACACTGGCACTGGGTGCAAAGATGAGCCTGGGGCACCAGCTTCACATGCTGCCATTGTGTTTCTCTTGCCTTCATTTCCCCTATCAGCCTCTCTCCCACCTCTCATGAGTTAGACCTTTGTGCTGGGCTTCATCATCACAGAATCACAGAATATGCTGAGTTGGAAGGGACCCACAAGGATCATCGAGTCCAACTCTTAGCCCTGCACAGGACCATCTCCAAGAGTCCTATCATGTGCCTGAGAGTATTGACATATTTGATGGCCAAGGGAGAACAGCAGCTCGTGTATTACTGCCCTGCCCCACAGCCCAAACCCAGCACAACACTCCCAGGGATGCTCCCAGCACAGCCTCCCTCTTCTTTCACCTGTTAGCATTGATATGCTTTTGGGGGGGGAGGTCCCCAGCACAAACCTGTCCCTGTGTTCATCAGCTCAGCCTGTCACTGGCTGTGCAGAGGAGAAAAACAGTCACAATGTATCAATATCCAAGTCTGCCTTTCCTTTCAGAAACAGTAGTAGACCTCTTTAAAAGGTCGGTTTAGATACTTTCAGACATAAACACACATTTTTCTATATGAAAAGAGATGTGAGCATCTTTTGATAACTACGTACTGCAATCCAAATTTAAGCTTTAAGAAATCATAGCTTTTTGCTTTGTAAACAAACAAGACCTCAAACCCATGTGATGTGTGCCCATACCTTGTTGTCTTGTACATGACTTTCCCAAGGTTTCCATGTCTGGGCCACAGGTGTAGCTATAGACCTGCCTTAAGCAGTGTTTCAGTGTTGTCAGAAAAGCAGCTATGATGGAAACAGCAAGCATTTCTTAACAATAATGTGGTAAATAGGGATGCTATTTTTAAGGATAAAAGGAAAAGCCTGTGTAGTGTTCAGCCAGTTGTAAGCACTGACATCAAGTAGTTTGTTCCTTGGGGGCATTAGCTGTTGGCAATGACTAAACCCTTGGACTGTTTTTGTTATTATTAATGTCTTGCCAATTACTTATCCACTCCATGCTTGAAAATTTTATTGAATGAGAATGATCAGGACCTCAGTATGTATGAGCAGGGTGACAACCAACTCAGTGTGAAAATCACTGCAAAGGTCTATATTTGGCAGTGTTGGGTAAGTAAGATCTAATGCCACTGAAGATTTTGTTTTGCAAAGGTATGGTTGATTTCTGTATTCAGTATAATCTGTGGCAAAAGATCTGGCTCTAGGTTAGCTCATTTATTATTATTAACTTTTTATGAGAGTTTTCCTGTCCGCATCTGCCAGGCATGGAGAGGAGACAACAGTACAGCACTGCATGTCAGGCTTGAGCAAGGTGGCTCTGATGGCTTTGAAAGGTGCCAAGGTCCAGTGCTGCCCATGAGGGATGTTATTTCCACCCCCCTCCTCCCCCTTGCAGAATGAAACAGCAAAAAGCTTTATCTTAAGCCTGATTAAGTCAGGGTGTCATGCCCTGAAGCCAGAAAAGATTGAGCACATTTGGTTGTCAGTACCTTCAAAACAAAGATTTATTTTTTTGCTTGGTAAATGAAGGGGCACCAGGAAACATTTCCTGTCACCAGGAGGGAATGAGCTGTGCTGCTAAATCTTCAGAGCAGTTCCCAGCCTGCCTGTGTCCCTTGCTAACCTGCACCCTCCCAGATCACCCTGGGCTGGGTCAGGAGTTACTGTCAGTTGGCCTGATAACCAAAGAATGACTGCTTAATTTGTTAGTGTAGATGAAGTCTTTGTGAAATCCAAACCCAAGGTGGCTATTTTTATTAAAGGATGGAAATTCCCATTGAAAGACCCATTGTAGGCCTTTTGATAATTTGTTTTCTGGATGATACAGAAACAAAACTGTCTTTGGAGCAGATCAAATGTATAGGGAGACAAAATGACAGCTTTATTTTAATTTTTTGCCTCTGCTGTTGAACAGTGAGTATAGCATTAGTATTTGGACTGCTCACTTTTGTTTCCCCCTTTACTTTTATTGTGTATGCTATATCCTGATTTTAGGGAGATGCCAGATGAGT